TGTTCATGAAAAGTGGACTTAGCAACATTTCACTCTAAGCTAGCGATTTGAACTCCGTCAGACATAACTTCAAAATGATAATATGAAATTTCGATCTTCCTTTTACTTGTCCTCAACGCGTTTAAAGAAAACAATCTCCTTCATTACTCCTGCATTACTTGTCAACTAGTTTCAAGCTAGCTTTTTGTAGCTAACAACAAGTTATATATTTTATAGAAATCCCGCAAAAAAGCTAACTACAACTGGGTTATTTTTTATCAATTGATAATTTTTTTCTGCAGGCCAGATCCGTATGTACTATTTAAATTTAAAGAAATAAAAAATTTTAAAAGTTAAGTTATTGGGATAATTTATGTCGCTATCAATAAATTTTTGCAATAATCTTATCAACCGTTATGTTAAACCTATCAAAAGTTTAACCCATCAACTCGAACCAGAACGGGTCTTTTTGACCCACTGTTTAAAAATATGGCTTATAGATGGTCCACATAATTATTTATAATAGAAATATATATATTAATTAAATATTTATATACATATATATATAATATAGAAACGGAATATATATAATATATATTAATAAATTAAATATTTATATGTATATATATAATATATATAAAAGTTACTTCTCAATAAAATATATATTAATATATAGTTATCAGTATATTTAGTATTTATATTAATAATATTTATTAAATATACATGCAGGTATGGCTACTAATTATTAAATATAAATAAAACCCTCTTCATTTCTATAAATCTGTTAATTTAAAATATATTTATTTCTATAAAGAAATATTTTATATAAGATATTTATATATATAAACAATTAAATATTTATATTTATATATATGTAAATATAAATATTTATATGTATATATATATACATATAAATATATTTATATTTATATATATGTAAATATAGATAGAAAAATTAAAAATTTAAATTTTAATATTTATATAAATAAAAAAAAAAATCAATTAATATTAATCTATAAATTTAATAAAACTTAAAAAAAAAATAAATTTCGATTAATATTAATTTATAAATTTAATTAAAAATTTTTAAAATTTTATTAAATTTATAAATTTAATAAAATTTAAAAAACAAATAAAATTTAATTAATATTAATCTATAAATTAAATAAGAATTTAAAAAAAAAATTAATTTTATTAAATTTATTTAATAAATTAAAATAAATATTTTTATTAAGTTTTATTAAATTAGTTATTATAATTACTAATAAATTTTTTTTAAATGTTAATAAATTTTTATAAAATATTTTTAAAATTTTATTATTTAAATAAAAATATTATAGTTATAGTTTATTATTAATTATTTATTAATTAATATAAATAAAATAAAAAAATGTTTATTAAAAAAATGGTTTTTTATTATATTTTTATAAATATGAATAAATATGATAGGGGGTCTGTTTATTTGTAGGGAGGAAATACTAATTGATTTTATTTAAATAAAAGTTAATTTTTACATAATATTACTAAAGTTTTATTATTTATATGATAATATATTTAATAATATAATTTATTATTAATTATTTTATAAATATATATAGATAAATAAAAAAATGTATATTAAAAAAAATGGTTTTTTATTTTATTTTTATAAATATAAATAAATATGATAGGGGGTCTGTTTATTTGTAGGGAGGAAATACTAATTGATTTTATTTAAATAAAAGTTAATTTTTACATAATATTACTAAAGGTTTATTACAGTGCGCTCGGGATAACGTCAACTAATTAAAACCGCGAGTGTTGACATTTATCAAATTGTTGACGTTTTTGAATGTGCAAATTTAAAGCCAAAATTTAGTTAATACTGTAGGTTAAAGCGTTTTTATTGCTCGGAAAATAAAATCAGACATAAAGCAAATCCAGAGAAAAACAAAAAAAGTTTTCCAACCTAAATACATAAAACAAAAAAAAAATATTTTACATGAGATCATGGCATACATACATATGTATCTATTCTTAAAAGAAATCTGTCATTTTTTTCTGCTGTTTTTTCCGCTCCAATAATTGAAATACAGCCTTCTCCCTTAGACGTCTTAACACATTTAGATCATCTTGCGAAACATTATCGCATCCGGCCCAATCCTAAGCCCGGTTAAAAATTTCTATGGCTTCGCTTGGCTTTACTGTTTGTAGATTTTCATCCACATCGTAAGCGTCATCATCGGACACTTCTAACTCCTCATTTGGTCCCGACCCAGTAACATCATCCAACAAAATATCTTGATTCCACTCCTCAATGGATGGCACTGTCAACCTATAAAAAATATTAAAACTATGTCTGATAGTGTCCCTAAAATGGCTTAAGAAAAACGACAAACCTGAGGATTTAATTCATTAAGCACATCAACTGCGCGCGTCATTAGTAGCTGAAGCTCCGAATCCATATTTGCTTTCAGAATGCTAAATGGAATATTTTCCTCTGGATCTTCCTCAGTTTCCGTGAAACTCAAAAGATTTTTCCAGCATTTAGCCATAGTGTCTGTACTGACTTTATTCCATGCGATCTCTAGAAACGTAACAGCATCCTTTAATGTTACTGTTTTCATTGAACTGACTAAATCTGAATTTTTGCCGCCATCATGGCTAAAAGACTTGTTCTATAGTAAAGCCTCGTTATCTTAATTGCATTTTGGTCCATTGGCTGGATTAGTGGGGTCACATTTGGCGGAAAAAACATTGCAATTATGTTTCCATCCTCTGTTTTAAGCTCCAATTCACTTGGATGAGATGGAGCATTATCTATTAGAAGAAGTGCTTTAACTGGCAGATTCTTTTTTGAAAGAAACTCTGTTACCTAAAAATAGAGAATTTTAATTGTTAAAAATTATGTCTATTCTGCCACATAAGAAAAATTTTAACCTGCGGCACAAATGATTTATGAAACCAATCGCGAAAAATAGTTGATGTCATCCATAAGGACTTGGAACTTGTGTACTCAGTAGGGCAGTTGAAATTTTTAAAAACGCGCTGATTTCTAGCTTTTCCAATTACTAGCAGTTTGAGATTGTGATTTTCGGATGCATTAGCACAACATAAAAAAGTGATTCGTTGTTTTTCCGTCTTCATTCCCGGAGCACTCTTTTCGGCACTTGATACATAAGATTTGTCTGGCAAAATTTTCCAGAACAAGCCAGATTCATCAGCATTGTACAATTGATCGTGACATAGACCCATTTCTTCGATTTTTGCTTTTAGAGTTGCTTTAAATGGATCAACAAGCTGAGGCTGTGAAGAAAGCTTTTCTCCAGATATTTTAAGAAGTCGAATGCCAAATCGTTTCTTAAATCCTTGCAGCCACCCATCACTTGCGTTAAAAGCTGAATCTTTTTCTTTTAGTTTTAGATGAATCTCTTTAGCTTTTTCCTTCAGCGCTAATGCATTTATAGGATAATTTCTTTCCCGCTGCTTAATAAACCAACGGTACAAACATTTATCCATTTTGGGCAGCTTTGATGCTCTTACCCAGCAAAAAACACCATTACCACAGAAACGAAAGTGGAAACGAGCTAGGCAATGGGAATGGCTTACCCTTTCGCTTCAAGAAGGCCTTATTTTAACATGGGCATGTCATTGGAGGTAAGCCCTTACCCGCAGCATTACCTTCAAACGAAGGGAGAACGCATGGATAAACAGAATCCAGAGAAGCGAACAAAGAATGCCTTACAGAGAAACTAATGTAGAATGCCTAGATAAGTACATACTTATTTATATTAAATTGAAATCAGAAAATGTCTTAAAAGATTAAAATTAATTAAAATTTTTATAAATCAGCTTTTATACATACATATGTATTTATTTAGGTATTTAGATTTTCTTATAAATCGGTATGTACATACATGCATATTTAACTAAGCTTAAAATTGTATTTCCTCACTCTTGTACTTCACTTCATTGACTGACTTCAACTTCGCTGCAAATTGAACAAAGCAAAACATGATTTTTATGCGAGACAAATTTCCACAGAAAGTAACGGTAGAAAAAGAATTTTTGGGTATTCATTCTATTTTTCAGCTGACTACGATACAGCATTCTACTTTGCATTCTCCGAAATGAAGCAAAGAAGCAAAATAAAAAAAATATTGTAGGACATTCTACTTTGTATTCCCTGAAATGAAGCAAAGAAGTGAGACAAATAAAATATTGTAGGACATTCTACTTTGCATTTCCGGAAATGAAGCAAAGAAACGAATTTAAAAAGAAATATTATAGGACATTCTACTTTGCATTCCCCGAAATCAAACAAAGAAGCGAAATAAATAAAATATTGTTGGACATTCTACTTTGCATTACCGGCAATGCCTAAAAGAAGCCGAAAAATTTGAAGGCATTATAACGCTATGCCTTCTAGAACACGTTACCACTAAAAGCGATTACCGATTTTTTGCTGGGTAATGTCTTCCTTTTTCCCGGCCCAGAAAATGTGTTATTAACACATTTCAAAATTGCCTTTTTTTGGATTTTATCTTACTAATCGTTGATTTTGTTACACCATATTGTTTCGCTAAAGCCGTCGCACTTGCACCTTTTTGTAATAAATCCAAAATATTTGCTTTTTCTTGCAATTGAAGAACTTTTGGTTTTTTTGAGCTCATTTTATACGCGCAACTCTAACGAGATCAAGAAAGCAACTGAACAGAAAACGACAATAACTACCCATCAATAGACACAAGGGGAATCCCCAAAACTAAAACTAATTACCAGATGTGGGCACTACCCCAAACAAGCGTGAGCTAAAAGTGAGAATGTGTTAGTGTGCCTAATTCATTTTGCATGCTGTCGTGTTCTCATCGCAGCGCTCTCGCTTGTATACGTACACGCGACTCTTACGCTCTTTTAGCACCTGCTAACTCTCTGCCCATGCCTGCTAATTACACACGGTTGTATGAAAGTATTTTAACCGTTACTAAAGCTAAAACTTTGAATTATTTGAGTTGACGTTTTAGAGCTTTGAGGTTTGGTTGACGTTTTAGAGTAGACAATACAAATAAAAAAGGGTTGACGTTTTGGGATGTTGACGTAATGGGGGGTTGACGTTATGCCGAGTGCACTGTATTTATATGATAATATATTTAAAAATATAATTTATTATTATTTATTTTATAAATATATATAAATAAATAAAAAAAATGTATTAAAAAAGATAGTTTTTTATTTTAATTTATAAATATAAATAAATATGATAGGGGGTCTGTTTATTTGTAGGGAGGAAATACTAATTGATTTTATTTAAATAAAAATTAATTTTTATACAGTATTACTTAAATTTTATTATTATTAATATTAATTGAAATTATAAAGTTTTACATTTAAATTAATTTTATATAATATTAAAGTTTTATTTTAGCTTAAAATTTTATTATTGATTTATTTTATATGTAAGTTTTTGCATTAATTTTTATTTATTTAAATAATAAATAAATTTTATTATCTTCTCAGTAATTATTTTTATTAATCAAAGAAATTTGTAAATAGTAATTTCATACAGTATTGGCTAAATTTGTGCCAGCAGCCGCGGTTATACAAATAATACAAATAAAATTAGTTCAGTGTAAGTTAAATTTTATATAAATAAAATAATTGTAAATTTATTAGGTGAAATTTTAAATTTATAAATTTTTATTTTAGTTAGATTAAAGCTTATAAATTTTGTGAATAAACTAGGATTAGATACCCTATTATTTAAAATGTAAATATAAACACTAAGGATGTATTAACTATGTTCTTGAAACTTAAAAAATTTGGCGGTATTTTAGTCTATTCAGAGGAACCTGTTTTGTAATTGATAATCCACGATGTGCCTTACTTAAATTTGTTTTTCAGTTTATATACCGTCGTTATAAGAATATTTTATAAGAATAATAATTTTCTATAATTTTTATTAAAATTTATATCAGATCAAGGTGTAGGTTATAATTAAGTAGAAATGGGTTACAATAAAATTATTTAAGTGAATTTAAATGTGAAATATTTAATGAAAATGGATTTTATAGTAAAATTTTATAGATTAAAAATTTGATTTTAGCTCTAAAATATGCACATATCGCCCGTCGCTCTTATTCTTAAGATAAGATAAGTCGTAACATAGTAGATGTACCGGAAGGTGTATCTAGAATGACAATTTAAAGCTTATTTAGTAAAGTATTTCATTTACATTGAAAAGATTTTTGTGCAAATCAATATAAATTGATTAATATTTATTTATTAATTTATATTTATTTTATTTATAATTTATTAAAAATAATTATATAATTTATTGTTTTAGTAATTTGTAGTGAAAAAATAATATTAATAATAGTTTATTAAGTATTGTGAAAGATAATTGAAATAATTTGAAAAATTATTATTTAAAAAGAAAATTTTATTTATTGTACCTTGTGTATCAGGGTTTATCAAATAATTAATAATTATTTTATTAATCTCGATTTTATAAGAGTTAATTATTTATTAAAGTTAATGTGCCAAAATTATTTTAAATAGATAATTAGAAATGAAATGTTATTCGTTTATAAAGGTATCTAGTTTTTTTAGAAATAAATTTAATTTACAAGTTTTTAATTTTTTGTTTATTTATTAAAATAAAAAAGTTATTAATTTGAATATTTTAAGGGATAAGCTTTAAACTAAATTATTAAAAATTAGTAATTTTAATATAAAATGTATGAATAGAATTTTCAATCATTTATAAATTTGTTATAAATTATTTTATAATTTTTATTATTTACTATTATTTAAAGTTTTTATAAAAAAATTTTCATACATTTTTTATGAAAATTAATAATGATAAAATTAGTATATTTTATATTGTATATATAATTTTATTTGACAAGTTTATATAAAGAACTCGGCAAATGTATATACTCGCCTGTTTAACAAAAACACGTCTTTTTGAGTTATTTTTAAAGTCTGACCTGCCCACTGAATAATTTTGAATGGCCGCAGTATTTTAACTGTGCAAAGGTAGCATAATCATTAGTGTTTTAATTGAAGGCTGGTATGAATGGTTGGACGAAGTATAATCTGTTTCATATAAATTTATTGTAGAATTTTATATTTTAGTTAAAAAGCTGAAATTTAATTAAAAGACGAGAAGACCCTATAAATCTTTATACTTAATATTATTTTAATTTTTTTGAATATATTTTATTTTAATTTTATTAATTATTTTGTTGGGATGATGTTAAAATTTAATGAACTTTTAATTATTAAAAATCATTAATTTATGATTTATTGATCCGTTAATAACGATTATAAGATTAAGTTACTTTAGGGATAACAGCGTAATTTTTTTGGAGAGTTCTTATCGATAAAAAAGTTTGCGACCTCGATGTTGGATTAAGATATATTTTTAGGTGTAGTCGCTTAAATATTAAGTCTGTTCGACTTTTAAATTCTTACATGATCTGAGTTCAGACCGGCGTAAGCCAGGTTGGCTTCTATCTTTAATTTATTATAATATCTTAGTACGAAAGGACCAGGTATTAGAATAATTATATTTTAATTAAAGAATATAATTAATTGTACTGTTTTGGCAGATTAGTGCAATAAATTTAGAATTTATTTATATAATTTTTATTACAAATAGTACTTGTTTTTTTTTAAATTTATTTTATCTTTAATTAGTAAATTAATTTTGGTAATTTGTGTTTTAGTTAGAGTTGCTTTTTTAACTCTTTTAGAACGTAAAGTGTTGGGTTATATTCAAATTCGAAAAGGACCTAATAAAGTTGGACTTATAGGAATTCCTCAACCTATATGTGATGCAATTAAGTTATTTACTAAAGAACAAACATATCCTCTTTTATCAAATTATTTATCTTATTATTTTTCTCCTATTTTTTCTTTATTTATTTCTTTAATTGTTTGAATTTGTATTCCTTTATTCGTTAAATTATTTTCTTTTAATTTAGGGTTATTATTTTTTTTGTGTTGTACTAGTTTAGGTGTTTATACAGTTATAATTCTAATTATGCTTTATTAGGGGGATTACGTGCTGTTGCTCAAACTATTTCTTATGAAGTTAGAATAGCTTTAATTTTATTGTCTTTTGTTTTTTTAATTGGGAGTTATAATATACTTGATTTTTATTATTTTCAATATTATATTTGATTTGTTATTATTTTATTTCCTATTAGTTTAGTTTGATTTTGCATTTGTTTAGCTGAAACTAATCGTACTCCTTTTGATTTTGCTGAAGGTGAATCTGAATTGGTTTCTGGGTTTAATGTTGAATATAGAAGTGGTGGATTTGCTTTAATTTTTATAGCTGAATATGCTAGAATTTTATTTATGAGAATATTATTTTGTGTAATTTTTTTTGGTTGTGATTTATTAAATATTTTATTTTATATTAAAGTAACTTTTATTTCATTTGTATTTATTTGAGTTCGTGGAACTTTACCTCGATTTCGTTATGATAAATTAATATATTTAGCTTGAAAATGTTTTTTACCTTTTTCATTGAATTATTTATTGTTTTTTATTGGTTTAAAATTATTATTAATTTATTTAATGTGGGTGATTTAATTTAGTAAAGTTAATAGAAAATAGAATTTCTATCTTATGTTTTCAAAACATATGCTTATTATCAAGCTCATTAACTTATTAAATTTAATTAATTAAGTTATCTCATCATTTATTAATTAGTGGATTAATAATATAATATAAAAAATAAATTACTGTTAAAATTTGTCCTACTAATACATATGGGTCTTCTACAGGTCGTGCTCCAATTCAGGTTAATAAAATAACTGTTACTACTATAGTTCAAAATAAAATTTGGTTAATAGGATAAAATTGAATACCTCGAAATTTACTTAAATGATAAAATGGAAGAATTGCTAAAATTGCAATTGATAAAACTAATGCAATTACTCCTCCTAGTTTATTAGGAATTGAGCGAAGAATTGCGTAAGCAAATAAGAAATATCATTCTGGTTGAATATGAACTGGAGTAACTAATGGATTAGCTGGGATAAAATTATCTGGATCACCTAATAAATATGGATTAGTTAGTGTTAAAATAATTAGACTTATAATTATTACAATAAATCCTACAATGTCCTTATAAGAAAAGTAGGGATGAAATGGAATTTTGTCAATATTAGAATTTAGTCCAATTGGATTATTTGAGCCTGTTTGATGAAGAAATATGTGAACTAAAGTTATAGCTAATTACGCTGTCTGGGGTATGGCCACAAAAAGGCGCAATGCAAAGGCCCAGACAGAAGCAGTTCATGCAGGAAACGTGGTCAGCAGGGCCACATAGCCTCTGCATGTAAAGAAAGCCCAAGCTGCTACCTGTGCTCGGCAGGAGATGGACAGAAAAATGCCAATCACCTGCCCGGGTCGGGAGCGTGCAAGGCCTTCAGAGATGCCCTTGCTGAGGCTAAGACAAAGCTTGGGAGAATATGATTAAATTTATACAAGGCAATTTGAACAGGAGTAGGTTCTTGAACAAAGAGCAGACGCGGTCATCATCAGTGAACCCTATAGAACAAAGGAAACCTGGCATGTAGACCAATCAGGCTCGGCCGCGATATGGATTGCTAACCCCAACCATCGCGCAGAGAGCAGCGGGGTCGACGCTGCTACGTCTGGGTTAAAATGGCGCAAATCACTCTGGTGAGCTGCTACCTGTCTCCAAACGTCACTCCTAGCAGATTCCCAAGGTATTTCACCCACAACGGGAGAGATCCACAACAGGGAGTCTTGTGTCTTGAAACTATGCGCTGCATTCACCGGGCATGCAAAGCCTCAATGCCACAGAGGAGAGCATGATCAGGTAAAAAGCAGGTATACTGGTGGAATGACCGAATTGCTGAGCTGCGAAGGGCCTGCCATAGAATGCGTAGACTCGCAACGCGCGCTCGTGGTAGACCCGAGGCGCTGACCAGAGCAGCAGCCTACAAAAGCGCTAAGAAAGCACTTGGGGCCGAGATACAGAAGAGTAAACGGAACTGCTGGAAAGCGCTATGTGACGAAGTGGATCGCGATCCCTGGGGCCAGGGATACAAAATAATGATGAAAAAGTTCCATACATCATCACAGGCGATGGATGAGGCCCGAGTTAAGAATATAGTGGATGCGCTATTTCCCACACACCCACTAAGAGCCGACACAGTGTTCGTCGAGGAGCAAGCCGAGGCACCACTGTTTTCGACAGACGAGCTGAAGCTAGCCCTGAAAAGCATGAAAGCCGACAAGGCTCCAGGCCCAGATGGCATACCAGCGGAGGCAATTAGGTTAGCAGCGGAAACGAGCCCTGATCTTCTGCTTAACATGTACAACAGCTGCCTTAGGGCCCGGGTTTTCCCAAGCCAATGGAAGAAGGCGAGACTGGTGCTTATACCCAAGGGCAAAGGGGACCCAAACTCTCCTTCATCCTTCCGGCCACTCTGCATGCTAGACACAGCAGGCATAATGATGGAGAGTTTGCTCAAAATACGCTTGACGTCAGCCATAGAAAGCGAGGGAGGCCTTTCACCCCGACAGCATGGCTTCAGGAAGGGACACTCAACTATAGGAGCAATTGGCGAAGT